CATCTGCTCCAAACTGGTCAAATAATGTACAAGAGTAATACCTACACACACTTAAAAATGACTCTATCAATATCAACGTGGAACATTCAAGGCTTGAATTCAACAGCCTTTGGACTAAAGAGTTCAAACACAGAATTTCAGAAGAGCATCAAAGAGATGGATATTATAATTCTACAGGAGACATGGAGCAGGGCAGACACCATCACCCGCTGCCCACCCAACTACAGAGAAATCATCCTACCATCACAAAAACTCAACACAGTCCGACAGGGAAGAGACAGACATTTCAAACCAGGAGAAACTGCCGTATCTGTTAGGAGAACAGAAGAACTGCTGTGTGTTAGCTGCTCAATATGTGTCTGCCTGTCACCATAGAAGAGAAAACACTCACCCTGCCCTGATCTGATGTTTCCAGCACATCTACATTATATTACGCCATATTACTGTATTATATTACTGAGATGTATATTTTGCTTCTGTAAATATGTCTAATCCCTTATTTTATTTTTATTTCTAGTTTATATACTTACATTCATTTTGCACTACATGCTTAATACTTTCTATATATTATTATTTTTCTTTCTGTTAATACATGTGTACTATTTGTAAGCAGTCCAGCTGCAACTGCTTTGGCAATACAAATGTATAATTTTTGTCATGCCAATAAAGCACTCTTAAATTGAAAAAATTTAAATTGAGACAGACATATTAAGCATGTGCGATATTACTATAAGTAATACTAAATATAATGTATATTGGGGAATATTTGCTAGTACCATAATGCCTGATTTCACCAGTAGATTAGATTTAAATAAGTACATTATTTTACTGGATATGCACTTTTTAAATATTTCTAGTGAATGCAATCACTGATAACACTATTATAAATGAGCAAAAACAATATTATAACAATAGACAGTAATATAATTCAATTATAAAATCATGAAATAGTAATGTGCAGCATTTCAAATGCCTATGTAGTATATAATCAGTGTCACTTATTACAGGGTTTCTGCAGGATTGTAAAGCTCAAATTTAAGACTTTTTAAGACCTGCACAAATAAAATTAATACCACATAACCAGGGAAGGGCAGTATCTATGGTAACATTAAACCGTAAAATTATTGTAAAAAGTATGATTTACAGTTCAGATACAGGTTTTCACAAAAACAAAAAGTTTAATGATCATGACCTTCACATCTCAGCCTTTAAACCATTTTTAAGAAAATGGGAGAAAAAAAAAACTATAGTTAATCCATGGTAACCACAAATTAACCATGGTTTTGCTACACTAACCAGGGCTGGAAATGAGGGGGGAACACGGGGGACTGAGTCCGGGGAGTGAATTTCGAGGGGGTCCGACGTTCCAGCTCCAACTGGTTAGATTTTTTTTAGAAATGAAAGGGATGTCTATGTTTTATTCATTCAATAGCCTACACACATAAACTTAGCGCAATATATAATAATCATCATTTTTGAATTAATCTTTTTGAACGGTCACAAATTAACTGACTGAATGATTCAGTGACAAAGACAGTGAGTTGCACCCACCTATTTAAATAATTTAATATTTCTATATTCAGACATTCATCACATAAAATTGTTATGAATTTAAATGCTTTCATGCCACCTCTGAGCCTCATTAAACTGTCTGTAAATATACCTAAATGCCACTTTTGTGTTCTTCTGTGCCAACTCTGTAGTGTAAAGATTAATAAAAAAAAAGATTTAATTTGGATTTGTAACTTAAGCTTCCTGATTGTGTCGTCTTATACTAATTGAATGTATTGTTACACAGGGTGCCTTTGACACATAAAAAACATATGGTTTAGAGGAAACCTGAAATAAGTTTAATGTTATAGATTATAAAGGTTTATATAATTAATTAAATCTGAAAGGTTGTCAAAAAGTTACCCCAACTCAGAGTTCCCCCAGTGAATTTTGGCCATTTCCACCACTGACACTAACCAAATTTTAATCACGGTATTTTTTAGTAAAACTATGGTTATACAAATGGTAGTTATGCTAAACAAACAAAAAAAAAATACATGGTTACTACACTTCTAATACAGTAAAACCATGGTTAATTTTATTTATTAATATATTTTACTGTCTTAATTGTTTAAATTTTTATAATGCATCATCTTCTTGTTGATCGACCAGTTCACATTTACAACTCTGCGTGTTTGCAGCGTAAAAACATGGGTTGATTTTCACATTGGTCCGATCAAAAAAAGCAGCTCTGCCAGCAGGAGGCGCTTTTGAAGTGGCAGAAATACAGCGGTTTCCCCGGTAACGGCAGTAAACAAAGCAGGCAGCAGCTAACTGAAATGTGCAGCGCTCATATTTATTTAATAAAATCAGAGCTACATTTATTTCAGTTAGTTAATAAGGCAGTATTTCTAATATTTCTCATTTTCATCAATAGTTTCATTTTATTTCAGCTTTATTTCAATTACTGGCAACAGTTTTTAATAGTTGTAGTTTCACTTCATAACGCTCTTAGGTAAAAAAAATAGTCAAGGTCAAATTCAGCTTTCAAACTGTCCTCCTGATATGTGGGGTCGTGTCAAGCATGTCTGAGGCCTTACCTCATGTAGCACCTTCAGTACCGTAGGGATCTGCTCAGGATAGAGGAGACCCTGAGACATGAGGGACAGGCACATCTTTGCGTCCCTTTTCAGCTCATCATAGCTGTCATCATTTTCTACAGGAGCGATCTGCAGATGGAGAGAAACAGTCACAGAGTGGAAGTCAGCAATCCACTTAAGAGCACTCCACACAAATGTATAAAGGATGAGCAAGAGCTAAGATAGAGAGAGAGCGCGAGCATGCGAGACCTTAAAGAGCAGGGTCAGCAGCTGCAGTTGCTGAGGTACTGGAGTAGAGAAGGAGCGCCCCGCACTGGCCATCAGCCACTTCAGAACAGTTTTGAGGAGTTTGATGGCCTGGGTCCTCTCGTCCTGCTCCCCCACTCCGTTCTCCTCCACCACGTGGTTCTGGATCTCCTCGTCTCCCTCAATCAGGGGCTTCAGCTGAGACAAGATCCTTTCAGTAAACTCCGCAATGTGTGGTGACTTGGTAGGCAGAGTGTGTGGCAGGGTGACGTCAATCATGAAAATGTACGTCAGCACACTGCAAGAGAAGACATGACAAGACAGAAATCATGACAAGAGAAAATCAGTTGAACTGCCAGTGTATTTTTAGACTACAGTGAACGTTTGGCCTCAACTGCAGACATACCTGCCAATGCGCTCTCTCACATTCTTATAAACCTGAGTGAGTTTGGGCTCCAGGTAACTAAGCAATCTGTGTAACAGCTCTGGGACCCTCCACTCCTGCTGTGCCAGACCACCTTGCAGCACGTAAAGGTGGCTACAGAGAGAGAAACAAATTATATCTCTTAATTATCAAAATATCAATTATGCATCCAAGTCTAAATGGTTTCAGAATTGTCCCACAAACTAAAACAAAATACACCTACCAGGCATCTACAAACGATCCACCTTCCCCACTGAGAGGACACTCCATCAACATCTCAAAAAGCCAGTGAAGCTTTCGTGGATCTCGGCTCTCCTGAAAACATCAAACATCAACAGCGAGTTGTTCTCATAGCTTCACATACAGTCGTGGCCTAATGATTAGTCACCGAACCCCCCCCCAACTGCACCCTGGGCGCCGCAGCAAAAATGGCTTCAGTGACACGATTCTTCAGAAATATTCTAATTTGATAAGAAGAAATGTTTCTTGAGCAATAATGTTTTGATAAATATAAAGAGTTTTTTTAGTCACTTTTGACAAATTTAATGCAACCTTGCTGAATTAAAGTAATAAAAAATTTGTTAAATTGAAGTTTAATATTTAAATATTTGATATTAAAATATTTGGATATTTTAAATATTACAAGAGGACACTCCATCAGCATCTCAAAAAGCCAGTGAAGCTTTCGTGGATCTCGGCTCTCCTGAAAACATCAAACATCAACAGCGAGTTGTTCTCATAGCTTCACATACAGTCGTGGCCTAATGATTAGAGTCACCGAACCCCCCCCCAACTGCACCCTGGGCGCCGCAGCAAAAATGGCTTCAGTGACACGATTCTTCAGAAATATTCTAATTTGATAAGAAGAAATGAATGAAATAAACACAGTCTTGAGAGAATAAGGTAATGGGGTTGAATATAATTATTATTTTTTTTTTCAAAAACAAAGAAAAAAAAAATCTTACTGACCCCCAAACATTTTGAATGATGGTGCGTATTGGTACAGGTTAGATTGTAATCTCTAGAGACAATATTGTCATATTAAATAGTCAAATAAATCTCCTTTTCGTTGATTTCTTTTCTAGCATACTGCCAAACAGTACTTTTATCTCCACTACCATGATTATTGTGTTCCGATGTTGGTACCTTGAAGAGACAGAAGCGACGAGGATTGAACTTGTCTTTGCCCTTTCGGTCCTCAAGAGACAGGAACTCAATGAGCTGTTTGATGAACATGGGTTCTGTGAAATGGTCATAGATGACATGCTCCCTCTGTCAGAAAATCATATTTAGTATACATACTGTCAAGTTTGGCAGTAAAACAAAGTCTAGCGCAGTCAGTCCATGTATACCTCATTCATGTTCTCAGCGGAAAGATCCTTGGGCTGCTCCGCTGCTGGGGCATATACCATCAAATTCCTATTAGCAGAGAAATGGAGAGAGTGAGAAAAATGTCTAGAAGCAGAGATTTGGAGTGAATCATACAGTGATCAGAAGCGGAGAGTGTTTACTTTGGCCAGCAGTAGTAGCCCCAGTGTGTCTTCTCTACAAAGCAGAAATTGTCCCAGTCTTGCTGGGTGTTCAGCAGGCTGTCACCATGGTACTGCAGCCAGTCATTCCCCGGCTTGTCTCCTGCCACCAGCCCCTCCGGCTCCGTTACCCCACCTGCAAGGCACCACATGTGTAATTATCTCCTTCCACAGAAACTGAGATGGACCAACAGATGGATGTGAAGGGTAATTTAATCATCTCCTCATTTAATAGTACTATTTATTTGTTTTTACAGCATTGTTTACTCACTTATATCACAGGGATTAACTGGTATTTTCTTGCGTGGTCTTTTCAGCTGTTTCAGTATGCCTGCGATTGCGGCGATCGCCATCTACATCAGCAATTATGGGAAGCAAAACAATAATATACACAATGTTTTACAAGTAACAGTGCATATACACTACTGTTCAAAAGTTTGGAGTCAGTAAGTTTTTTATTTTTTAAAGCAGGGCTGACATATATGTGCTACGAAAAAACTGGTCTGTGCGATGAAGAAATTTACCACTGTAGCACACGTGCAATACAGTTTTGCATGTTCATAACACAGCCACTTAATAGTGTGAAGTGATTCCGTTGTGCTTGTTTGTGTGTGTGAGATTGATTATACTTGATAGTTTGGGGTGTGCTATATGATGATTTTTGATCGTGGACTATTAAAATGTCTCCACGATCTGCTTTTGAAGAAATATCTTTGTATCGTGCTACAGTGCACATTCTATCAGCTGCAGTTCTGGCGCCTCCCTCCGTCTCAATATAATGTACAATGCCACATGCATTCACATCAGTATTAGCTCAGCGGTAGAGTTACTCTCACGGGGCACTGCACTTATGAGCAATCACAAAACTACATTATTTGCATCTGCTTTAAAGCAACGGTTAAACATTTAATTCACGTGCTGTTCTGCATGCGCTTTTTCTGAGCCCTGCTCATGAAGCGCGCTCACACTGAGAGCCTGTCAAAAAGCACTTGATTATTGGACTAAGTTGTCTTTCGCATATGACTGATTTCGCGTCTAATACTGTTAAAAACACACAAGGTTTACATATAAACACAGTTGGTTATGTCTAAAATGAAAGTAAACACGTGAGTAACACGTGCAGCTCTTAAAGGGACAGTAGCTACTAAACATGCTGCCGACTGTCATTAAACTGATAGTTCAGCCTAAAAATGTTATTTCTGTCATTATTTACTCAACTCACATTTTGTCCCAAACCTGTATTAATTTCTTTCTTGTGCTGAACACAAAAGAAGATATTTTGAAGAATGTGAGTAACCAAACAGTAGCTGGTCCACATTGACTTTGACAGTAGGAAAGAAATACCATGGAAGTCATTAAAAAAAATAACTTATGTTCAACAGACGAAATAAACTAATTCAGGTTTAGTTCAAACAACTTGAGTAAATTATGGTATAAAAATGAAACACTATGACAGAATTGAAAGAGAGATTTTTGATGAATAGGGATGTAACGATTAACTGCGAGCCGGTTGAAAATCGATTCAAATATGATTTATCGATTCAAATCGGTTGAGATGCTAAACAAATCGCGATTCATTTAGGTGTAGGAGTTTATATGAATGCATGTATGAGGGGAACTTACTGTCTTTAGAAAAGTTTAGATGGTATTTTTTTCTTTTCATCTTGCCTCTGTATAATGCATATTAAAGTTCATAAGTTCAGCGCTGCTTTGTTTACAGCGGAAACCAGGAAACGCTTTAAGCGCCGCCTGCTGGCAGAGAGTGAATCTGCATCTCAGTAAGCTTTGTGGTTTCATGCAGATATTTTTATTTATAGTTTCACAAAACTGAAGTCAAACCATTGTTTTTGCTTCAAATTTCGAAACTATACAATCTAATTTAGTTTAAAAACTGCTCATGTTGCATGTATGCAGCATCTTTGTTTGGATCCAGATTAAAATGCAGTGGTTGCCTCTAATTTTAAAAGGAAAGAGCACAGACAAAGCCTAATTTTGTTTATATGAAGATATTTATTTTATTTGTGTTACTTGTTTATTTGATTTGGGGCTTGTTTTAAAATTTCAATTTAGTTTTGTTATTTACATTTACATTATATTTAAATTTTGTAATTTAGCAGAAGCTTTTATCCAAAGCGACTTACAAATGAGGACAATAGAAGCAATCAAAACCAACAAAAGAGCAGTAATATGCAAGTGCTATATTAGTATATTATTATAGTATTATTTATCGAATTTCACAAAGAAATGTGCAGCATTTTGTCCAAGCAATAATAAAAGGACACATTTAATTTAGAATTTGTCTTAAATCTCATTTTGTTAAAAAAATTATAATAATCATGAATCGAATCGTGAATCGAATCGAATCGTGAGTTGAGTGAATCGTTACATCCCTATTGATGAACTATTCTTTTAATGTTAATAAAGCAACAAAACAAAAAAAATCACTCACTGCTCTTGGCTGATGAACTTATCATCAGTCAGTTGCTTTAAAAAAAGTATAATTGATGTATATAGTGTTTTATTTTAATTATTATAATATTTTATTCACTTTGGCCTAAATATCTGCCATTCTTTTTTATTTTATATTGTGTTAAGGTGTAAGAGGTGTTATGTTTCTGCACTCTTCCATTTTTAGCAAATTAAGAAAACTGTCTAAAAACAATTTTTGTGATGGTTTGTATTTTTGTGCTCTGTATGGAACATCAGTGCATGTTTAAAGGGGTCATATGATGCGATTTCAAGTTTTCCTTTCTCTTTGGAGTGTTACAAGCTGATTGTGCATAGATAAGATCCCTGAAGTTGCAAAGACTAAAGTCTCAAAACCAAAGAGATATTCTTTATCAAAGTTAAGACTCTGCCACGCCCCCCTAAAACGGCTCGTTCTAACACTAAGTATTTGCTATTGACTGTTCAAATGCGGAGATTTGCGCATCGTGCGTGCGTGCGTGCGCACGCGCGTGTGTGTGTGTGTGTGTGACAGAGTGAGAGAGAGAGAGAGTAACTTCACAGTGGAGTCAGCCGTCTTAACCGTGGCTCGTGTACTGCACACACACCAGCTTCATCACGATGTCTGTCACGCGACTCTGTTCCCCTTTTGGGCTCCGTCTTTACATTTATTTTGAAAGCTGAAGCTCGCGATTATGGTAAGGGGCGTTACATTTCCGACAAGTGCTTGCGGTGTTCGGCCAATCACAATGCACTGGGTCAGCTGGCCAATCAGAGCAGACTGCGCTTGTCGGAAGGAGGGACTTTGTAGAAAAAGAAGCGTTTGAGAGAGGCGGTGCATAGAGGACTTACAATAATGTACAGTATTTGAAAAATAATGTGTTTTTCGAACATTAAAGCATGTCAACATATTCTGTTACACTAAATACACAAAATAATGATCTTTAAAAAAGCATCATATGACCCCTTTAAGTAATGAACTCCATTACTTGTGTTTGTTTTCAGACATGATAACAGACGTTTTATACTTGTGCTACAAAGTTAACATACAGCCCTGTTTTAAAGAAATAATACTTTTATTCAGCAAGGAAGCATTAAATTAATTAAAAGTGCCATTTTTTTCAAATAAATGCTGTTCTTTTGAATGTATCAAAGATGTTCCATTGTAAAAATGTTAAGCAGCAAAAACATTTTCAACATTGATAATAAGAAATCTTTCTTGAGCACCAAGTTAGCATATTAACTTCTAAAGGTTAATATGACACTGAAGACTGGAAAAATAGATGCTGAAAATTTAGTTGTGCCATCAGAAAAAATAAATACATTTTGCATTGCATTTTAAAATAGATTAAAATAAAAAACTGTTATTTAAATTCTAATATTTTATAATATTTTGCACAATGATACAGTTTTTACTATATTTTGATCACTTAAATGCTGCCCTTGGAAGCATAACCTCTTTCAAAACATAAAAAACAAATTCTTACGAACCCCAAAATTTCAATCCTGCCCAATCCTGCTCCTGGAGGGCCACTTTCTTACAGATTTTAGACCTAAACCTAATCCTAATTTAACACATCTAAACTAGCTAATACAGGTTTTCATCAGTAATAGATACTTCTAGGTAAGTGTATTGGAGCAGGCTGGAGCTAAACACAGCACAACCCCGATACAGATTTATGCAAAACTTACAAAAAAAACAACAACAACTTTCCACGAACCTTGCGAACAACAAGTGCATCATGGTTGAGGCTCTGTACAAAGAAGAGCACCGCTGGGGCCGGGAGGGGATAGTCATCTCTTAGCAGTAGAGACAGGAAGCCAATAGCAATGTGCTCAAACTTCCAAGGCCTGATGACACACATGATAACATTCACAAATGAGTGATGCTTTTGTGTGTCTGATTTTATAGAAACAATGAAGCACTTTGAAACATCTATTTGATACTTACAGGTCCCTGTCATCTAGACATTCCAACAGGTCTCTCACAATCTTTTCATATTTCCTGAAAGAGGAAACACAGCAAATATTTACTACACCATGTTAAATGAGTATTAAATGTTGGGAGTGTGTATGTGTGTAGCACTTACTGCACTGCCTCATGGTTTTTGTCTTGTTGAAGTGCCAGTCCCTGCTCCAGCTCCTGTTCTGTGGGAGTGCCAATGTGTGGAGTGGGTTGGCTTGAATCAGTGATGTGCCGGCCTAGCAAAACTGCACTCTCAGGTACCTACAGATTCATCCAGGGAAACATGAGTCGTACAGCACAAGATTGCTACAATTTTACAGCTTAGACATAGCCTGAAGGTACGTTTATACGAAAATGATGTACTAAAAACATTTGTGTTTTTGAAAAATGTTTCATTCAGACGACATGTCAAAATGATCCCTGTTCACACGGATCCATGAAACCAGCAAGAAATGCTGTATTACAAACACTGTATTACTGCATGCCAGGCCACTAGTTGGTGATGTTACTTTGTAAAGAAACACTATACACTGAACACGTAATACGCATTCGTAATACTGCCGTTACAAAGACTATAACACATCGTTTTCAAAAAACTTGCACTTTGAAACCCATTTTCAGGCCCCCAAAAAGCTGTAATCAAAAAAAAAAAAAAAAAAAAAAAAAAAGTCCATTGTTGATTATCACCAGTGCAGTGATGTACAAAGTACAGCTTACACAGAAATCACTTTTAAACAGGACAGCTTTCTGTTGGACAACACACCAAATCCACTGACCAACTTGAAACTGTGGGGAAATCTTTCATGCAAAATTCCAGAAAATGTAGATTCCTATTGAAATGACTGGATTTTACCTTTGAATATTTACCAAACAACAATAAATGTGTCCCCACTTTAATAGTCTGAACGACACACCACATTATTTCAAAGTTTATGTACAAAATGTACAAAACAGGCGATGCTTCTCACTGTAAAATCGATGCCAATGGTCTCGTACTGCCGGTGGACTTTGTCCGCAAGGTCATCGAAGAGTCTGACAATGGAGGGCTTCTCTAGAGACATAGCTGAGCTGAGGCCTGAGCGCACTATGGAAGGCCACGTCTGAGCGATGCAATCCCAGTCATGTAGGTTAGCAAGGCACACTCCACAATGGTTCCCAAGCAAGCAGTACAGTGCCCCCTACAGCACAATATGATAGAAATTATATTAAATCAATAAAGACAAATACAGCATTATGCTAATTATAGAAAGTGAGAATTATAGATTATAGACCTTGAACTGTTGCTGGGTGACATCAGTTCGTGTGGGCTCCAGTAGCTCCAGGACACGTGGAGCAATGTCTCGGCAGCAGAAGTTATAGGTCCCCAAAGCTGTGAACAACACATTTTGGGCCTTGCTGCGGACCTGAGGGTCCAAAAAATGGGTATTCAAGAGTACATATAAAATAAAGGGGATTATTTTTATGTAAAATTTGGTGGATGTGGAATCAGACCTGGCTGTAGGTGCTGGTGGAAAGACGCAAAAGGTCCCTCAACAGGTCCTGATGAACAGTCTTATATTCACACACCTCGACCAGCAACTTTCGCATCTAAATTTGGAGAGCAGGAAAAAAAAAATTTAACTTCCTACTAGGGGTGTTGGAATATACCAGTATTGACAATAATCTAATAAAAAAAATAAAATAAAAAAAGACACTACCCGCACCCAAAAAAAGCTAGCCAACCATTGTGGGAGATTTTTGGATTGCTTAAGAAGATCTGCAGTAAGTTTTTTTAAAATATGATTTGTACAGTTTTGGTTACATATTTCCCTCTGTATACCTATAAACATATTTAGTGTGATTCTTTGACCAAACAACAGAAAACAAAAGTTATAGATGAATTCGATGGATAGCATTGTTTATTTTCTCAATTTCTATAGAGATCATGATAGCATCGTTCTTGTCAATTCTTTAGGCCACGATAATCGTGTAGTGAAAATACGATATTGTGACAGCTCCTACCTCATGCTGAAGAAGAACTCTGTCAATAAGAAGAGCTCGGATGTGCTGTTTCTTCCCATGAAGCTGGAGCGAATAAGAAGATTCATAAGACAATTATACATTTCAAATAAATGGCACAGGAGATTTCTTAGGCCCCAACTACACACCCTGTTCTCCATCGACTTCTTCACCAAGGTGAAACTCTTCCAGCGAGAGTCAAACTCATGTTTATGGGAACCTCTGAAGTGCATCAAGTCACTGATGATCTGAGGGAGACAAACAACTGATAAATCACAAAACTTTAATGGCTAATAGTTGCTATATGATCCAATACAATCGACAGTTTGATGAACAATGATCAAATCAGTTTGCTCAAATATCTCCTCCACACACTTACCTTGATAATGGTGAAAAGGGATTTGGTGTCATCCTCGGAGTGTTCCAGAATGTAATCTACAAAAGAGAATTAAAAGATGCTTGTCTTAAGAATTATGGGTAATGCAGATGAGGTAAATTCTGTGTGCAGGCAGGTGTTCTAAACAAGGAGCACTTACGTAGCAACTGTCTCATTACTTTACAGATGGCCTCCCGGTAGTTCTCTCTGGACTCATCTGGAAAAATCAGCAATGTCTTACTGAGAAGATGATATCCTATTCTATCATCATGATACATAAGAAGTTACTCTAACTGCACATTCATCACAACAACATGAAGCACAACAGATTTCATAAGCAGAGTTTCACTATGAACTTCCCCAATCTTACCGTAGTCAACACCAATGTACAGCTTTGTTTCCTCCAAACTAACCATGCTGGGTACACTGCACAGAGGAGAATTAACAAAAAAAAAAAAGTTATACTTGAGCTAACATGCAAAAGTTTGGTAAGATTTTTTTTTTTTTTTACATAATATAGAAAAATCCATGGCTGAATTTATTTGAATAAAGTACCGTAAATTGTAATGTTTTTTTTTCTACAAATTTAAATATCTGTTTTCTCTATTTATCTATTTTCAAATGTATAATATATTTTAAAATGAAATGTAAATCTGAACTTTTAGCAGCCACTTAGCAGTCTTATTTAAGATTTAACTTTTTTTTTATCAATGTTGAAAACAATTGTGCCGTTTAATGATTTTGTGGATACCATGAATAGAAAGTTCAAAAGAACAGCATTTACATGAAATTGAAAACTTTGCAACATTATAAATGTCTGTACTATCACCTTTATCAATTGAATGTGTCCTTGAGTAATAAAAGTATTAAATTAATAAAACATTTCCCTTTAACAATGAAATACAAAGGATTAAATAATCATGATTTAATCAGTGCTGTGCATCCCTTCACATATCCACTACTTAGAGCAAACATTGCATATCTCATATCTGAGTTTTAGGACTTACAGGCCGGTGACTGTACGTCCATCAAGAGGGCGGAGCATGCTGCCAGCACCCAGCAGACAGTGCTGAACTATACACAGACTCTGAAGAACGTCATCTCTGTTTAAAGTGCAAAGATGTGGCAGCATCATAAAAAACAACTCAAGAAAATATTCACAACTTTTAAAATCAATACAGAACGATGGTATTTTGTCTTTACCATTATTACAGAGTGCACTTTTGACCTCTGACCTGCTCATGTCCTGTTCTCCCTGTGCATATCTCTGCAGACGCTGGAGCTCTGGCTGCAGCAGCAGGTCCAGAACATAGAACACAAATGCCGTCTCCTCTGCGCTGGGCACATGCCACTGGATCTCCAGGTTCCAAAGGTCCCCCGGACGACCCCAGTCCTGTGAAAAGAACAAGAAGGGAGGTAGTGAGAACTCATGGGCTCAACAATGATCTAATACATTGCCCTGTTGTCTCCACTGGTCAAATGTCCTCACATGTACCAGACACATTCACAGTACCTTAATGGGCAAGTACTCTTGCAGGGGTCTGTTGAAGCCGCCGGGCACACTGCAGTAGTCTGTGGGGTAGGTGAGTGCTGTGGAACGCAGGATATGGTGCAGCAGGTTGCAGGCCAGACTGTAGCCCTGCTTGCAGCGCAAACGCAGGGTCAGCTGCAGAATCTGCACCAGCTGTGTGCGGTACGGGAGGAGCTTTTCTCCATCCACACGACTCACCTGAAGATCAGCAAGAGGGGGTGGTAATGTGAGATACACAGCAATCATTGTCTAGTGTCTAAACAGACGTAGGGTGACTGATTTGAAACACTCTTTTCAGGCAGTGACTCCATTAATGTTCCTAATAGCAAGTGGGTGTGATACAAACTGCATAGTTGTGCCTAGTTAAAGGGATTATCCACACAAAAATGAAAATTCGGTTATAATTTACTCATGCTCATGTCGTTCCAAGTTGTATGACTATTTATTCCATGAAACATAAAATATATTTTAAAGAATGTTGATAACCAAACAGTTTTGGTTCCCTTTGACTTCCATTATATGAACAAAAAAAATACAATGTTAGGGAACTGAAACTTGATTACTAACATTCTTACCAGCATATTATCTTCTTTTATGCTCTTGAGAAAAATAAAGTCATACAGGTTTGGAACAACATGAGGGGTGAGAAAATTAAATCATTTTAATTTTTGGGTGGACTATTTCTTTAAGACTTTAGCTTGTTGCTAATATAAGGATTTGATAATCTAATAAGCATAAAAATATACAGCATACAAAAAATATTTGGTGAAAGTGCATTTTAATTTTGATAAAAAATGTGTAGGGTTTAATAAAACATTTTTATACATGAAAACATGATCAATCCAGAGCATTATAGGATTGATTTAGTCATTTATCCATGAAGAATATGAGTCTGAAATTCTGAATCCAGAAATGATCTTCCAAGGTATATAATATTAATGCCTACTGTTTAGTACAGCCTCAGAGGATTAGTACAGGAGAGAGGATATAAAAAAAAAAGTAGCCTAAATAGGCAGCTATCATGATTTTGCAATACAGCTTAAGCTTTTCAGTGCAAAATCTTTCATGTGCAGTTTGATATTGTGTTGTTTTGACCTCAGAAAGCAACTGAAGGTTCCAGAGCAGTTCTTTATCCAGTTCTTCCTCATTTGAAACATCTTCATCTGAAATGCACCAAAACACAAGTGAGGATGCTGACACAGACTCAACATAACACAAAGAGTCATTTATGTTCTTGTACGTACTGGCAGTTAGATGAGTAATGGCGTTACAGCAGTGTGGTACAAACAGCCTGAGAGACTCAGCAGGGTGACACTGAAACAAAGCAGAGGACAGCTGAATCAACGTGGCCCCACGGCTGTGTGTGTGTATCAGCACAAGATGGGCAAAGAGAAAGTATTACCTTAGCAGCCGCTCTGCACATGTCAGCCACCATCCTGCCTGCAACACGAGTCTCAAAGATGTTGGTCGTGGCAAAGTTGAAGACTTTCTCGAGAGCCACCTACAGACAGATAACAGCCATTAACAGATATCACCAGTCTATTTAGGTGTACATAAGGAAATACACTGTTCAAAAGTTTGAGATTGGTAATTTGTTTTTTGTTTGTTACATGTTTTTGAAATAAATTTTACGCCCACCAAATCTGCACATATTTAATAACAAAAAATAAAAATAAAAAATTGCAAAACCAGTTATAGTGAACTACTATTACAGTTTAAAATAATATTTTTTTATATTTTAAAATGTAAGTTATTCCTGTGATGTCAAAGCTAAATTTTAAGCCTCTATGACTCCAGTCTTCAGTGTCACAGGATCCTTCAGAAATCATTCTAATATGCCGATTTGTCGCTCAACAAACATTTCTTATTATCAATTTTGAAAACATTGTGAAAATAGTGTTGCTTAATATTTTTGAGGAAACTGGTATACATTTTATTATTCAGGGCTCTTTTGTAACATTAGAAATGTCTGTAACTTTCGGGCAATTTAATGCATCCTTGCTGAATAAAAGTATAAAAAACTATTTAGAAAAACGTATTGACCCCAAACTTTTAACAGTACTGTATATGGATGCCACAAATAATATATATACACACACAGTGCCGACTTGCTGTCAAATTTGACTGATTGATCAGTCAAAACAACTGGTGAATCAGTCTATAAAGAGTCACTGGTCTGACTCATGGGATGATTCAGTCAGACAACTCCCTTCATTATTAAATCAGGTCAGATTACTCACTGAGCCGCAGATTAATATAAGCCAAGAATGTTAAAAACAACAACAGAGTTTGAGATTGCTGTTATAATAAATGCAACTCAATTGTCTAAAAATGTAAAAAACATTTTTTACATTTGTAAGGTTAGCAAAATCTAAGGACAACAGAGAGGATACTTTTTTTCTAATAAAGAGTGTTTTCATTAAAGAAAATGTGTTAAAAAAAAAAAAAAAAAAATGGTTAAATAGTTAAAATACTATTAAATGTAATAAAAACCTTGAATATCTCCATGGAGCACTGTGTCAGAATGGTGCTGAAGGTGGATGAAAGGCCCAGCTCCACCAGACTCTCTAAAGGAGTCATTTTCTCTGTCTCCGTCTCCTCGCGCGTCTGCTCCAGAGTGCTGCTGTCAATCAATGCAAAACACCTACAGACACACACAACAGGGCATAAGCCACAACAATAGTGTATCATACTTTTTCAAGCACACACATCTCACTAAATGACTCACCTGTCCATAAACTGCAGAACAAAGTCTTCAAACTCAGCAGAAGCCGAACACAACTCTCTCACCATCTACAACAAATAAAAGATTTTATGACGAATCCAGACAGAATAATTATGTCAAATCTCTGCAGTGGGTCTTTTACATACAATTTCAGAGCCCTACCTCTGTCAAGTCATTCTTCTCATGGAGGGCTGATGAACAATCCACCAAAGGCACTAAAGTAGTAAAAGTAGCAATGAACTGGAACGTGATCTAAAAACAAAATATGTGAACATCATTTTAAGTCAATTATGAATAAAATCAGCCGAGAGAGCAACAACAAGAAATCAAAATTCTTAACTGTCATATTATGGTTTGATTTATTTGATTGTTTCAAGAACACCATTGTTAATGCTTATTTCAGTTTACCCACCATGCATTTGCTAAAGTCATTAGGGTCAACACCAGGCAGTGCTCTCATTAGCAGGGGCAGGACATGCGCGGGACCTTCGGGATAATGTCGGCCACCGCTGAGAAGACTGCGGGCCATACCAATCATGCAGCTGAGAGTGGCAGTAAGTTGGTGTGGCTCCGTCAGTGTCTCCATAGCAGGATACGTCCTGCAGGGGGCAGCACATACACACGAGCTTTTAGTTGGGAAAAAGTCCAGCTGGATTCTAAGAGACTACTTACAAAGCCTATTTACAAAGATTGGATTTGTAAATCCCGACAGTGAATAAAAGAAGCCACTATACAGGCTATGATAAAGCTTTATGACTTTAACTAATGAATTTATACTGCAACTCATCTTTAACAAATTTTTAAATACTACAAAATAATTGTTTTAATACAACTATATATATATATATATATATATATATATATATATATATATTATTTATATACAAAAAAATTAACAAAAAAAAAAAAAAAAAAAAAAAAAGACTGAGGGGGAATTCACTTTGCTGGTCTTCTTTTTATGTAAATCTTTTTATGTAAATTAGCCTGATTAGTCAGTGTTATATGCCTTATATTGGCGTCTACAGGCCCTGAATATCTCCAGCAGCTCCACACACTCACTTCTCCAGCACAGGTGGGATGACCAGCTCTGGTCTCATCAGGGCCAGGTTCTGCAAGGCCTGAGCTGCATCCATGCTGCCTGTTTTGCTGAACATGGCCATCAGTACCGGCTGCTTCATGCTCTCCACAAAGTCAGTCACATCCTGGTCTGTGAGTCTGTGACTGGCGGGAACAGGGGTGATCCAGCAGGGTTTCTTATAGCGCTCCCGATGTAGCCGCCGAACAACACTGGCAGGCAGACGCTGTAGAAACTTCATCAGCTTCATCTGGAGAAGAGGGCAGTGATATTAATATATGACACAGATGGCCAAAACAAATGAATTTTGGAGTTTGGAAACTCATTAATCCCGTACAAAATTAAGCTAAAGTTTCAGGTCCGTGTACCTTCTGGTCATTTGATTTTCTATAGTAGTTGTATTTTTTGCTGTTTTTCCGCTAGCAGCCTACACGAACGGAGCTTATGGTTGCCGCATATACGATGTAGCACAGAAGATGGGGGACCCACACATTCAAAACAAATATTAAAGCATAATCTAATTTTTTACCCATGAAAAAGAAAAAAAAAAGAAAAATCTAGTTTAAGTTTTGTTTTTCTGTTTTTTTATTTTCCCGAAAAAATGAAAAATCTAACCATTTCTCATTTCTCTATTTCTTTTTATGCAGAAAATCATATGACCAAAAGGTACACGGACCATTTCATACTATGTTTTCTGTAGCACCTCCCATAATAGTTATCAGCTCATGAGATTAGGCCTGGGCGATAAAACTGTATCGATATTTATCGACGGTACACCTTCTTCGATAACGATAGAAAAAATGTTTGCTATGGTGCACGATATAGGCACGTGCTATGAGTGACGCAGACAGCACACACAAACAGGAACACATGCTGAAATGAGTGCTGTGCCTGCCTGTGATGAGGAGATTGTGAATAAAGAATGAATATTAGTCGAATTTAAAATAAACATTTGCATTTGAATGTTAGGTGTGCATCAGGGAGCGTCATCAGTGGCGTGCGAGATGCAGTGATAATGATGTAAGTGACGTTGTTGCATTTTAATGTTTTGTTAGTCTAGCCCACGAGACGCGCCGCTGCTGCGTTATTCATTCAAAATATTAGAGAAATATAGTCGCTCAATGCAGAGAAGATCTTGATTAAGTTAAAACAGAAACCAAGCCATTCACAGACCGCATATTCAGCACATTCTTTAGACGGACAATTACGACTGCTACACTCACGTCTCACACAAGAGATGTATAGAAAGTCATGCAAAATTAAAACAGTTTAAACTTTTAGAAAACACATCACGAATTTGTGGAGGTTTATTCCTTTTCACTGCGTCTCATATGTTTTTAAATGTAATTGTGTGAATGGTGCTTCGGCTCTTTGGATTAAGCAATGCATAAATACATGCTTCTATTTTGTCCAAAATTGTTTATGCAATTTACGGAATTATATTTTATTTTTATGAGTTAATTTAGACAATGCACGGTTTTTATAGACAGTTATTTCCTTGAGTTGATTATTTAAATGTGCTATTATTTTGCTCATTGCACCCTCCTGTGTCCTAGACAAGATAAAAGTTTCCTTAAAACCTATTTAATCTGCATAGAAAATATTAGATTTTTTGTTAGACAGTTTGATTGTTAAAATAAAAAATATTTGTGGTTTGTCTCAATAAATTGGGTTAACTTAAAACTACAGTGGTTAAATTTTTTTTTTAAATTTCTATTGCTTTGTTTCAAAAAAAGGATATAAAAAATGTCAATAATTATCGATACCGAACTACATGAAACATTATATCGTTTATAAATTTTTTTGCTATATCGCCCAGCCCTACTTTTCTCAGTCCCGGCTAGATAAAGTTTGCATCTTCCAAGACCGTAGCGCTACTCACGCATGGAACAGCCTTCAGAACAATAAACTACAGGGTTTCTAGAGAAATTAGATTCTTTTTTTGGCCATTTTAAAAACAAAACTGTACTGGTGAAGTCAATACTTTAGCATCTGAAAAATAAACACTGCAATGGCCTTTTCAAACTTCTTCAAATACCACAACTGTTTTCCAAAGTTTGTGGTACCAAATTAAAATGCTTAAGATTATTTAAGTTATAATTAAAACAATAATAATGGATTGATTTAACATCTACTTCATGCATTGCACACAAAGTGGATAGGCTACAACAGTTAAATATGCCATCAGTGTGGATGTACTTCACTGTGACAAAATGGATGCTAAAGTAGCAATATGCAGAACTTTAATAAGGTTTAAATTATCACCTACCTAACACCCTGAACATCATACTGAGTTCAATTAATCAAATGTATTATTCAAACCTTATTTTCTGTTCCAGTTTTCACTAGTGATTCAGTAAACAATCATTTTGGTGCATCACTACTTTTGAACAGTAAAGTAGCACAAAGGCATAAAGACTTAGTAGTACTTCTTGCATCAACACTCTTGAATAACATTTGGTTTCAAAGAACAAAGGCTTGCCATATTGAGTTTGCAAACTACCCTTATGATACTGTATGGTACTATGGTACTGAGTCATGAGTGCAGGAAAAGGATGCATGTCTAGGATGATAGGTGGTCAATAACTGGAAAGTTTTTAGTGGCGTTTCAGTAGTTGGAATGTTGAGTGACCTCACTCTGTCAGAGGACCATCTGTCACTGCATATCTCCCTCTTGCACATAAACATAAACCTCACCTGACAACACACAGACCACAGTCAATTCTAGAATGGATTCGAGGGGTGGGCTGGACTTCAAGGGGGACAAGATCTTGCATTGCACCATATTGTTCTGGATGTTTATCCTAATAGGGAACATCTTACCAGCCAGCGCCCATTATTTGAAGGGTGGTAGAAAGATGCTATACTACTGAAGAGCCCATTAAGCTGTGTCTGGACCTGGTTTTGTGGGCCGCCCTGGGAAAAAAATGATAAAGATCTGTATATAAATGCAGCCTTTAATAATTAACCTTTTATAGGAGGAGTGTGACTCATGAAACTTACTAGCATGGAGGAAATCCAGAGGACCACGTGACCGATATCGTAGGAGTTGCTCAAATATCTGGGAACGATCATTTGGCTGGTGCCAACAGGGAGATTGAAGCTACGCAGAACCCTAGTGAAGATCTGAAGCAAGACAACAAAGTATCAGTATAAAATGCTCTGATAAGATGCTCTGATGCCTTTAGATCATCATCTACACCAGTGTTTCCCAACCTTTTTTCAGTCGCGGCACCCTTTGGAAAATTTAACAAACTTGTGGCACCCTACAAAATTTATTTTGTCACAATATTTGAATTTCTATCTTCAATATGATAATTTGAAAAGTATAGATATTCGGTACAACAGGGAAGAACTGCAGAAAATAATGTCATACAGATATTTTTAATATTATTAAAAAATGTTGTCCATCAATGGTGGCAATCAGTAGGCTAATTTCTAATGAAGAGACCAATTTATATGACATATTTTAATGTAGGCTTTTATACATATGTAAACATTATTTAATTACCATTATAACTAGCAATCTCACAAATTTTTTTAATTTTACAGTGGGGTAATTTTGGTGCAGTAGCACGAGACAGCTTGATTTCAAACTTTGAATTGAATAAAAAATGACAAGTAAGCAGTCAGTAATAAAATAAGAACAAATAAAGAAATTAATAATGATAGCACAAATAAAAAAATAACGACAGGCCTTCGAATTAAATAAATTGCTTTTTAGTTTTTCAGGTAGATCTAACAGTAGGGTTAAGATATTGAACTTTTTTTTTTTTTTACCAATTATCCAAATAATGTTTAGTCCTGGACTTTGGACTTTGCTGTTCCGATGAGCATGAACGGTATACAAGTGGAGCGACTGAGCGGCGCGCACACGCATAGAGCGGGATAATACGCAGAGCGTCACACCACGTGAAAGTGAAACCCGAGCGGTGAACTAATTTTAGGCAGCCGAAATTTCGGTGCATCTCTAATTATTGGCGACATCAGAAATGGATATTATATAATAGATGTTTTTGTGAACATTTTAGCAATTTAAAAAAGGAATATTTTTTTTTTTTTTTTACACGGCACCCCGGTTGGGAAATACTGATCTACACTATGGTTCAAAAGTCTGGGGTAATTTGGGAAGGATATTCAGGAAGGAGTTCAAATAAATGCTGTTCTTTTGAACTTTCTATTGATCAAAGAATCATGAAAAGAATCATGCATCACAGTTTCCACAAAAATTTTAAGCAGCACAACTGTTTGTGCTGATGGATCATGTGACACGGAAGACTGGAGATTGCAAGATTAAATTGTTTTAAAATATATTAAAATAACGGATACATTAAATGGTAATAATACTTCACAATATTGCTGTTTTTACTGGGGTTTTTTTTTTCATCAAATAAATGCAGCCTTGGTAAAAGACTTCTTTCATAAACATGACCCCCAAACTTTTGAACAGTAGCATATATAAGCAGGATAGTACCTTGGGAATGTACGGATCCCAGTTCACATAGCCAATGTTGTCATTAGCCAGACGTGCAAAAATATTCACTAAATTCTATAAGAGGAAACAAGAGTTAACAGAGGATAGAAAGCCAATGGTGACATAATATTTAGCACTTAAATTAATTTATGAATGAGAAGTACTTACACCCTCCCAAGCAGGCAGGTTTTGCACTGAAACCCAGAGATCCATCATTTCATCAAACCATAACCTAAAACATGCACAAATCCTCCTATTACACTGGCTCAGACTTATTGGATGCACTTTATGAATACTGACCAATTTATTATTAGATCCCAACCCAATTTCATTACTAAATTGCACAAGAGAGTCTTACTTGAAGCCTTTGTGATGCTGTTCTGGGGGCATGATGGTGGGCAAGAAGAGCTCAAAGTAGCTAATGGCCTTCTGCATAGTGACATCAAACGGGCACAGTAATGGCCGCCACTCATCAAGCATCTCCTGTGTAGCTGACTCAGAGAAATAACTATGCACAGACACAGACACACACAAACATTATGAAAACCAAATCACATGCTATTTTCTCAGATCCATGGTTGTTTATTTGTTATGTGAGCTCTTGCAAAATGATGAATAGTGGTTGTTATATGAATGAAACGGTCAACAGTATAATGTGTTAAGAGAGCTGTAATCGGCTCAGTGTGAAAGCTGATTAACACAATGTGCAATTCTTTTGTGAAAGGGGTTGAACATTTATAGGCACATTAGTGCATGACGGAAGACTGAAAGAGCACTTACAGTCTGCAGCTCTTGACTAGTGTCTTCAACACATTCTCCACTGAGCTAAAGGGAGGAAAAGGGGAGAGACAGAGAAAGGAAGTGCATTAATATAGTATGAAAAGCTAGGCTCATTTGAGGTTGAAGCAATAGATACGATTAGACCACATGCAAAGCAAAACCCCAACTACAGTGCATTTTGTGAAAGTGTAAATGAGAGTTTCCCAACACCAGAGCCTGGGCACATGAGTGCAACATGCCAGGTTATCAGGTTCTCCTCAGGTCCTTTTTATAACAGAGCTCAAAAATGCTGAACACAGTCAGCCATTAACATTAACAGCCAATTCAAATCAGGAAGCTGCTCCTAAATACATATTTTTTACCTTGTCAAAGTCGGCCAAGAATTGCAAACCATTGGCTGTGGATTATGACTTTAAGAATACAATTATGCTACTAAATGCTGTACAGAGAGATAGGTTAGGATGGTGAACTATTTGATAACGATTTTAGCCTTAATATATTTGGCTGTTGTGCCAAATAGTCAATAGTATTTTGTGAGGAATATGATAGTGATGTACTATGAAATGTTATAAATATTAAGCCAAAACATTTATTCGATTTCTATCAGCAATGCTCCTGAAGGGCTCTGGGATTCATTCTGTGCCATTTTAACTCTTCTGCACCATGAATGTTGCATTTTTAACATATCGTGTGAAGTTTTGATTTACTAAACCTGCATTCTGTTCCATTCTGATGTGGTCAATATCCATCCGTTTTTTGAATGCAAGAACATTAATTTAAGCCCCTTAAAAACACATCTGATTGGGGTCTACTGATCATGATCATTCATGGCTTACTTAAAAGGACAGTGCACCCAAAAATGAAAGTTCTGTCATTTACTAACCCTAATGTCATTCCAAAATTCATTACTTACTTTCTTCCGTGGAACATAAAAATATTTTGAGAAATGTGAAGTCAATGGGCTCCAATGTTGTTTGGTTCACAGAGTTCTTCAAAATATCCTCTGTTCTGCAGAAGTCAATCCGTCATACAGGTTTGCAACGACATGGTGGGATTTTCATTTTGGGGGGAGTATCTCTTTAAGACAGGCTTGTCAACTAGCTGTTCAGATAATTCAGACTAGTTAATAATTAAAATATGTCTTCTTGTACATCCCTAGTTCTAAAAATACACCCCCAGCGAAACTTAGCAAGACACGGCAGCTGTTGATCTTCCTCTTAGTACAAGTGTAAGCAAACACCTTCCACATTCAGCACACTCTCATTTCGATCGAGATTAAAATAGAACACAATGATACCAGAACCCAAGGGGAAAATTGGCAAAAGTTGGGTGACCTTGCTTTCTAAAACAGCGAGCCAAAGTGATCCGACCCACATATACAGCCTGACCTAAAAGAAATAGGGCTGACAACAGACTACACTGAGTTTTCCAAAAGCGCTGTAAGCTTAAAGGGATAGTCCACCCTAAAATGAAAATTCAATCATTTTCTCACCCTCACATCATTCCAAACCTGTATAATTTTCCTGCTTCTGCGGAACACAATCAAAGATATTTTTCTGAGAAATGTCTGTCTGTTTTCTGTTTATTGTCCACAAAATAGGAGTCATTGGGCTCCAATGTTGTTTGGTTCTCAACCTTCAAAATATCTTCTTTTGTGTTTTTAGGTGAACTATCCCACTATATCATTTGCACAATTGGCCTCTACAATCTATAGAATGCAATAGTCCATGCTCACTTTTTCAGTGGTGTTGGTTCAGTAAATATTTTTGGCATGCATTTTTTCCCATAGGAATTTTTTTTAAAGTCTTTAAAGTGTTATAATTCATTTTAAGTTGTTGATTACATCTATAGAAACAATATATTTTCTATGAATATTTATATATTGTTTGTGTGTATATGATTAACCGTGTTTTTGCCTTATCCTGAATCACTACGGTATGCCTATAAGAAGTTTTTATATTCAGATTATTTTAGACCTGTTGGGACGACATTCGCTGCAGAGTAGCCCAGTACCTGCGTGACTTATCATATCCATAAAAAGAGAGAAGTAGCTCCGGGCTACATTGTTCTTCCCCAAGATGCATGCACTTTTGTTTAGTAAGAGTTATGCAGTGTACCCATAAAAACCAGTTGAAATAATGTAAACACATGGCTTCAACAAAAGTAAACACCATCAGTTAACAACCTCGGAAACTCACAGTTGGTCTGTCTTTAATTATTTCCCTATGGAGAAAATGAACATAAATTTTGCTTTCAGAACACAACTGTTGCACTCTATAGGCTTATGATGCTTTTGGAAAACACAGCTTTGGTTAGTAACTTATTTTAATATAAACCCTTTGACCACCTGAGAGAACAAATCAAAAGACTCTTAGATTAAGAGAATGAAGTCACAGCGATGAGTCTATCCCATTCCTGGAGGAGGTGTGCTGGAGAACAGTTATTTACAAAAACTTTTTGTCATTGTGCTGTTACAGTTTGTCAGGAGAGTTCTTCAGCCTAAATATAAGAGCTGACTGACACCTCTGAGCATCCAGGAATTGTGTTTGACAGACAAAGATGAAATATTAGAAACTTTAAAAGGAGCACCATTTCCTGATCTGCTTATGAAGCATGTTATTAAGTGGATACGATTCGGCTACTACAGAAACAAAGATTATAAATACAAATGCAGGTGTAAGCTGTGGTGGGATTTTCATTTAGACTGTTGATTTGCTTTTAATTTTGGACATGCAAATAAACATCAAAGCAGCTGCCCTTGGAAAGGTACAGTGCAACATGTAAAATACTGGCTGTGCTTACCGCTTGCGCACAATATTAAGCATTTTTTGTTTAGTTGAGGCTTCTGCTCGATAACTGAATGTGAAAAAAGGAAAAATGCATAAGCCAATGCTAGACACACCAATAACATCTCAATCAAGTCATCAATCTCAATCTCTTAAACGGGAATGGTTGTGTTACAAGAGTCAGCAGTGCTCAGTAAAAGGTCCCAACTGAAATGTAGGAAGAGAAAGCAAATAGCTAAATCTTAGGCAGCACATCAGGGCCCTTTTTTCCCATGAACCAATCTTGGCATTGTCTAGTTTTTTTCCTACCTTAAACCTCACCTTGCCCTGTAAAATGACCCTTGTGTCAAATGTGTGTTCACCATACAGAAACACTTTACATCTCTGCAAATATGTCATGAGCAAGTCCACAAAGAAACTGAAGACTTCATTTCACATTTTCTGTGCTGATTTTGGCAGGGAAATCTGTTGAATGGGTTTAAATATGGTATAACTAATAATAAATATATAATAAATATGGTATATACAGTATCTGAAAGCATAATTAAATTATCTAGAGCTTTAAATAAGCAAACATCCAAGCGTGGATTGTGAGCGTGTAAAACTTTGTGAATAATGCCAATTTAAAGTCAGTCCGTGTGGGCCTGGTCATCAGGTACCATGCTATTATAAAACAGAGTCCAGTCACATGTAAGATTTTGTTTGAACTTGTATCCATTAGGGCTGAATGATTAATTGCATTTGCGATAATGAAAAAATTTGATTTTTCAATCGCAGAGGCTGCGATTACACTCGGTCATGTGACACGCGAGAGTAAAGAGGTGTGTTCGACTTGAAGATCGATCGGTGTATGACATCAAAGTGCGGTGAGAGAAAGCATAAGGAGATGTCTGCGCTCTCTTATAGCTCTTGCAGTACTTTCATGACACACACCCATCAGTCTAAGCAGCGCTAACAGTAAACAGCCAAAGGATGTAATGGGAGATGGATCGGTTTGTGAAAGCGAAGAGAAAAGCCATAGATGAAGTCGCACATACCCAGGCAGGTGCTGGTCATTCAAAAGCTAAATGTAGAAAATATGACGAGGCATATCTTGCTCTCGGCTTCACTCACCGTGTCTATACCGGACACCGCGCCGCAACGCTGGCCCTGTATCGATATTGTGGCACGTGTGCAGCAGTGGACCGCGCTTAATTTGTTAAAAATGAGAACCACTGGTCTAAAGTTAACAGAGTTAAGTGCACTCCACATGTTTACATATGTTTATTACAGTGACTTTGAATTACCTAAAGTAGTGTGGTAAAGCAACAGATTTGTTTTTATATTTCTGCAATCTACTTTAGTTTGTGTGATTTGTTACTGACTTTCATATTAATGTTTACACCAGGCTTATTTGCTTTATGTTTTCATAATTATTACATGCTCACAAGGTTGGAAGTTCAACAAATCAGTCAATATACTGTGATTGTAGTTGTTAAATAAAAATGTCATTCATATCTTCATGCATCACCTAGGCTAATTTCATCGTAACATATTGGCCTGGCCTACAGAAAAGAACATTTATGTTTAATCTATCTAATATTGTGTTGGTCATACTATACAATGATTTATAGCTTGTCTTTGTTGAATAATACAGAACATAAAGAGCTTTAAAAAAACAATTGCATATTAAATCGCAATCGCAATATTGGGGAAAAAAAAAAAACGCAATTAGATTATTTTCCAAAATCGTTCAGCCCTAGTATCCATGGTTCACAACAAACTAGAATCAGTGAGATGATGGCAGAGATAGGTAGAAAGATAAAAAAGTGCAAGAGGCCTACTTTGGAAACCAGTTAAGACCGAGATGCTCAGTTTTTGAGTACAGGATACTCTCATAGAGATCGTATAAAGGCCTCCAAGGCAATTCCAAGTCATCCCGGGACAGCAGTTCTTTCTTCCTGTACATTAAAAAAGAAAAAGAGCATTCAGAAACATTAGGAATTCATTAAATTATAAGCAAGGCTTTTTTTAAACAGTGCAATTCATTATAACAAATAATAATAATAGTAAAATAAGAAGAATAACAAATAATAAGAATAATAATGCATTAATAATAGCCAGGGTCTTGTGTTCAATTATATGGAAATAACAACAAATGTTCATATAACAACAATAAACGTTGAATTACCTTGATTTTATTTATTTTTTGTTTTATTTTGATATGCAATTATTTTGAAGAATTAATACTGTAATTCATGTAAATAAAGATTTTAATCGACCAACAATTCGACTGTGTTATTCTCAGATATGTGGCAATGGTCAGGTGTTTGTTGGGGACACTTGCATACTTCAGTAAGTTGATGAGGAGTCGTGCAAAGCTCTGCATCATGCTGATGTCCAGCTTGGGGATGGTGACCAGCTCGTACAGAAGCTTGATGAAGAGCACATGATCCTCCTTGCTGAACTTTCTCCCATACAGCCGAAGGTATCTATAGGTATCAGAGATCATGTCATAGTGGTAACAATAAACCACCAAATATGAAAGTGGGCATCCACCACCCCAAAACAACATATATTACAATGAATGCTCAGAAAGCCTAGTTGAAAAAAAAAAAAAGTATTTTGTTTGGGAGGGAAGCACACATGGCCATCAGTTATGTGTATGTGCAATTCTGACCTTATCCCTAAATATTTAATTGCGAAGGCCACCATGTGATCATGAGACCGAGAGAGCTGTGAGACTAAAGCGGAGTCAGACTAGCATGGCATATATAGTGAAACGTGTCCTCAAAATAGATTATATAGGACAGCCTTTATAAACATTCAACTAAATATTAAAAACTTATTCCCATTTGAGTCTTTTTTTTTGGTAAGAGTTGGCAGAGTTTCCTCCGCAACTACTGTTTGCCGCGAAATCCTGGAGGGACTGCCAAATAGACGAGAAATTAGGTTTGTAAACACACTGCCCATTTAAGCAGAGATATTGTCAAGTATTTAGTGTAATACAAACTCTACGGAGACTCTACAACAGTCAAAAGAACCAGTAATACACTTCACAGAACTGAAGGGTACCATATAAATGTTATGCAGCATTAAACTAATGTAAGACTTTTTAAGTGTCATTAAATAATGCATCATAAAACATAAGCATTTGAATAGAATAATAACCCCTTTATCTTATTTTAAAGGGGTCATATGATACGATTTCAAGTTTTGCTTTCTCTTTGGAGTGTTACAAGCTGATTGTGCATAGATAAGATCCCTGAAGTTGCAAAGACTAAAGTCTCAAAACCAGAGATATTCTTTATCAAAGTTAAGACTCTGCCACGCCCCCCTAAAACGGCTCGTTCTAACACGCCCCCACATATCTACCTCACTATGTGGAAATATTTGCATAATACCGCCCAAATGTTCACGCAAAGAAAGAAGGCGTGGTTTCAGTAACAACAGTTAGTGTTGAAGCAGCCATGTCAGGGAGACGCTGTGTGTTTCTAGGTGAAAGTAAAAGCACTTTATTTGGCCTTCCAGAAGTAGATGCATTTAGGAATCTTTAAGATTACTTACAACAGAACAGCAATGCATTTTATGGACGACCGTTTCGTGAACCTAGGAGAGGAGGTAATTCTGACTTTGCTATGACAATCTGGCGCTTCTGAATCAGCTACTGTTTTGTTATTAGTTTAAGTATTTGCTATTGACTGTTCAAATGCGGAGTTTTGCGCATCGTGTGTGTGTGTGTGAGAGAGAGAGAGAGAGAGAGAGACAGAGAGAGAGAGAGAGAGGGGGTCACGTGACAGTGGAGTCAGCTGTCTTAACAGTGGCTTGTGTACTGCAAACACATACCAGATTCATCACTGTGTCTGTCACGCGACTCTGTTCCCCTTTCGGGCTTGAACTGATGGTAAAACTAATGACATTATTTACTGTCTTTACATTTATTTTGAAAGATGAAGCTCGCGATTATGGTAAGGGGCATTACATTTCCGACGAGTGCTTGCGGTGTTCGGCCAATCACAATGCACTGGGTCAGCTGGCCAATCAGAGCAGACTGCGCTTGTCGGAAGGCGGGACTTTGTAGAAAACGAAGCGTTTGAGAGAGGCGGTGCATAGAGGACTTACAATAATGTACAGTATTTGAACAATAATGAGTTTTTTGAACATTAAAGCATGTCAACATATTCTGTTACACCAAATAATGATCTTTAAATTGCATCATATGACCCCTTTAAAAATGTCTTGTGTCTCAAATACAAGTGTCTATTTTCAACATGGTAAAAAAAAAATCATGAATCACTTTGAAGTGCCAATAAGAACCCTACTAAATAGATCGAAAATGAATAAGGCAAACCATAAAGGCGTGAAATAAAATGCTGTTTTACTATCTTTAAGCAGTCTTCTCCAGGTAAAATGTCCTTTTAAGGACTCCATGTCTAAACCACTGGTTGCAGTGATGCATGGGGCAGCTGCTTATTATCCAGCACTAATGTTAGCCTCCGTTAGCTGATTAGCTTAGAAATGAGCTTACAACAGTCCTGCGTTTCCTGCTTTTAATCGACTGAAGCCTCGCTGACAAACTAGACCAGAGTAATATTACGCTCGATATTATGAAAGGTCATTATGGAGTATAGGCAGATAGATATGTGATGTTTATATATGAGCAAGGACAGATGAGTGACTCAGGTAACGTTAGCGCTTAGCTTTTAGCTCGCGAGCTAACGGCTACAAGCTACCAGAGTCATTTAGCTCTCCCTGCGGTTTATTAATAAAAAAAAACAGGCTCAATTCCCAGAGCAAAGCATTTTAGAGTCTTGAATATACTTACGTGGAGAGTTTCCGAGTCCAAAGTAAAACTCCGGGCCATAACTCACGGAGCTGGACAGCCCGACCCAAGTTCCCTTTAATCTGGGCCAAAATGTCATTGGATTCGCGGTCTAGTTTGTCTGCGTACGGGAGAAGTTTGTTATAGACGATCTCTTTCTGAGGGACAAAACCTAATATCTCGACCTGCTCCTTTTTCATATTACGATTTCCCCAAATAAATATCCTCTTCTGGTGTGTCCGGCTTATTTCCTTCCCCTCTTGACAGAAGTTCCCTTGACAAATCTTTGTTTTACTCAAAAAATCCGCTACTTTCGCATATGTGCCGGTGTTGTGGAGCGGGTTTCAGATTAAAACTAGTTACTTCGAGAAATCTCTGTCTTTCTGACCTCTGGTGTTAAACACATTCGCTTTAGTCGCCTACATAGAGAAGTCTCCCCTCACTATTTGACACATATTACGAGTCTCACACACACACACATACACACCGGCGAGTGCAACAATGAGCCATGAGCGGCGCGCCCTCTACTGGTGTTCACCTGCACATTCAGCAATAACAACATGGCCCGTGAAAATTTTCAAAAGCGTGAAAATAAAATAAAATAATTAATTTACAATACACGTTAAAATATAAAGTAAACACTAAATGAATTTGTCATTTATATACTAAAAATAATAATTTTTTTAAATGTTAAAATATACTTATCAAGTTATTAAGTTAATAACATTAAACATTAATGTACATTAAATACATTTGTCATTTTAATAAACTTTCCAGAGTAAAATAAAATAATAAATAAATAAAAGTTAACACAAAATTAATTTGTTGTTTTAATACATTTTCAAAAGTGTAAAATAAAAGATTTAAGTAAATAAAAGTTAACATCAGATTAATTTGCCATTTTAATAATTTTTCAAAGGTGTAAAATATAATTAAATAAAAGTTAACGCCAAATAAAACGTTAAAATATAAAGTAAACACTAAATTAATTTGTCATTTATATACTAAAAATAATAATTTTTTTAAATGTTAAAATATACTTATCAAGTTAAGTTAATAACATTAAACATTAATGTACATTAAATACATTTGTCATTTTAATAAACTTTCCAGAGTAAAATAAAATAATAAATAAATAAAAGTTAACACAAAATTAATTTGTTGTTTTAATACATTTTCAAAAGTGTAAAATAAAAGATTTAAGTAAATAAAAGTTAACATCAGATTAATTTGCCATTTTAATAATTTTTCAAAGGTGTAAAATATAATTAAATAAAAGTTAACGCCAAATAAATGCCAATGTATTTTAATAAATTTTCAATAACAATATTTTATTGGCAACATTCACAAATAAAATAAAAGTTAACACTAAACGTAGGAGCACAAATCATTTAAAAAGCACTAAAGTTTTTGAATGTCACTATAGTTATTTGGGAAAACCATCCCTTTTCTTGCTTTTTTCTAAAATTGTCATGTCCTTTATCCACAAAAATGCTGAGAACATCCGCATGATGTGAACTTTGTTTGCATACAGGGCCCTTCACTTTGTTTAAACGGTTTATCCGAGGCAATGATACTAACGAGATAACTTAAATCCGCTTTGGTTCTTTCCTTGTGTACTGACCCAGTGCGGAACAATTCACTTGACCTACTGTCACAGCAGAAAAGTAGAAGAGTGTTCTGTGCTGTCACCCTTCAGCCGCTCTCATTCTCATTTTGCTTAAGCATTTGAGTGAGCCCTCAGTTGTATAAAGATGTGTGCATTTCTGTAGCTCAATGGGCCTTTAGTCTAACAGTTTAATTCAATTGTTCTCATGTTTCCTGTTGTGTTCAGTTCTCAAGTGATTTCCAGTTTCTCAGATATTTAATCTTGACGGAGACCGCAGGTCAATGCAAAATGAGCAGATTCATGGCAGAGAAAATTAAAGCACACCCCATTCCCACAGCTCCTTGTTCAATAGGTTCCTCAAGGTCATTTATTACCTATCAACCACACACCCTATGTCTTTTCCGACCAATAGGAAATTCAGTACAGAAATTCCAGCCAATCAGATGCAGTGACCTTTTACCATTCAGCCAATCAAAGGGTTATAGCATTCCTCGTAAAGCAGATCTGTCTGCCCTGATCATGGGTACTGTTAATGAGATCCGGGATTAACCAGGCTCACTTGCCAGTCTCACAAATATGGTGCTGTCAGTTGTAACAGAGAATAGAGCACCTGAATGACCTATAATTGAATGCATATAACAGAATATTCACATGCTAATTTTTTTCAGGCCCCTCCAAGCTACTATTTGAAGTCACTTACACCTTGTCAACATGCAAAATGCATGTTAATGTTACATTCAAATGTGTTAATACGAATTGCAACAATGGCTATTGTACACTATGACTAGTGTACAATGGTTGTACATTTGCATCCGAGTTGTTTTCTTAGATGTAGGCATGTACTCAATCCTCAGTCAGACAGACAGGAAGCGGCTTCTTGGCCATACAACATTTTTAGCCCTGACTTTGATTGGCTCATGTGACTTATAAATCCCACTTGACCTGACAAGATCAAAGCCCCAACTCCCGGTGTCCTAATTGTGCTTTTGTGGACTTATGGCAGTGCTCATTTGTTTTTGTAACTACTTTCAGTTTTTGTCATTTATCATTAGTATTCCTAATATAGGAACTGTGTTAGAGGAAAGACAAGCTGTGGAGATTCAGGTGAAATTAAAATGGCAATTTATTTTTGTGAATCATGGTTCTACAGAGAAATATGGCAAGTTGAAGCAAAAAGAAATAGATAATGAGATAATAAAAAGGTATATTCAGATATTCTACTCTGTTTTCCTTATGATTGGACATTCTGAGATGAGCTACTAATCGCTTTAACTTGTGGAACAAGAGCGCCCTCTGCTGGTCTAATGTTTTTATGGATTTTTTTTTTAATCTTTGAAATGGGTTCTTACAAGCCTACTATATGACTATATAATTGGTACATTGAGAACATTAATATAAAACTAGAAAACAAGATTATCAAAATAATATATTTGTAGTACATATTGACTTGACTGGAAAACCACGGAGCCCCTACAAGGACATTATGATGGAAAAAATGAGATGGGAGGAAAAGTTTATTTAAACATTTGCGTTCCCCCCCCAGAAACTTTACATTTGCTAACACAAATTTGCATTGGCTCTCAAAAATTTCACGTCCCTTGAGAAACTTTGTGTTCGCGGACATTCTGAGATGAGATACTAATCGCTTTAACTTGTGGAACAAGAGCGCCCTCTGCTGGTCTAATGTTTTTATGGATTTTTTTTTTTAATCTTTGAAATGGGTTCTTACAAGCCTACTATATGACTATATAATTGGTACATTGAGAACATTAATATAAAACTAGAAAACAAGATTATCAAAATAATATATTTGTAGTACATATTGACTTGACTGGAAAACCACGGAGCCCCTACAAGGACATTATGATGGAAAAAATGAGATGGGAGGAAAAGTTTATTTAAACATTTGCGTTCCCCCCCCAGAAACTTTACATTTGCTAACACAAATTTGCATTGGCTCTCAAAAATTTCACGTCCCTTGAGAAACTTTGTGTTCGCTCACAGTTCCCTTTCATGGGAACTTCGAACTGCGTCCTCTAGGGGTCGCTATGGGGAACGTCTCGTCGTGACCGTGTCTGAAGTATACATTGAAAAAACACCAACTCGTTGGCCGGTGACAGCCATGACGTCACTACCGGTGCGACTATAGTATAAATAGGTGCCGGGAGCACACACCATCCTCTTCTTCGTCTTCATTGACTGTTCTCTGTTTGAAGCGTGCATTTCCAAGGAAAAAGTAAGAGCTATCTCTATTCATTATGGCGAGCACTAGCAGAGCATTTAGAAGGTGTGTGCATCCGTGTCATCGCTATTTGACACCAGATGACACACACGATCCATGTGTTGTTTGTTTGGGCGAAGAGCACGCACGCGATGTCCTCGAGAGGGCAATCTGCGTGCATTGCGAGCGTTTTCCAATGAAAAAGCTCCGTTCTTCTCGATGCCCCGGTTTCGCCCTCTGAACTTTTTGGTACATCCGCTGAGACGGTGGTCGAAAAGTTCAGGGAGGTGAAGGCGCGTTCAGCAGCCTTCAAAACCTTCATTCCACGAAGGTCCAGGTCTGAGCACAAACAACCCAGGGGTCCTGGCCCGTCTCGGTTTGAGGATCAGAGATGAGCACAGAAGACTAGTGTCGCGACTCGCACTCCTCCTACGCCTGCGGGTAGGGGTAGGAAGTATCGTGGGTCAAAGGGAGGTAGGCAAGACCTGAGGGATGTGATCCAGACAAGGCATCAGCGCTTTCGTCCGGATCAGAGTAATACTCGAGTATCCACTCTTTCCCTCAGGGGGTGTAACATCTACCCTGTTCTTCCCCTTCCTAATTCCCCTGTAACCACTATCTCTCCACCT